GAGTTTTTAGAGTGATAGGCTTGAAACAGTTTTCGATACATCGCAATTTAACAAGCAGACTCAAGGATCCTGCTTAAACAAGTAGGGATGACCCATTAATTGAGTCAGCGTATTTTCAATCACTTAAGATGAAGAGCTTCTGCCAAAAGGCAAGAAACTAAAGAATTTGAAGGAGGCAATAAATATAACATTGCTTATGTATTCACAGCCTATGAATCAACATTTCCTCAGTAAACTTAGATACGAGTAGGTCCTGACCATTACACAAGAAAGGCACTAACAGATTGGTTTGAGGGGATAATAGGCCATTAACACTCAATGACCTGAATTTCATCAGATATTTTAGGCTGATCTTCTTATCAATATGTGCAGGAGAGAACTTGCCATAATCTTGCGTAATCTTATTATTATTCATAGTGCTGCATCTGTGGAAGCGCAAGAAGAGCCTTCAAGGAAATTATCTTTCAGCTGCTTGAAATCGACATGGAAAGCTTTCGAATTACTGCATTATTTGCATTTTGAAGCTATAAAGATGACCAGCACTTGTAGAGATGATCGATCGGTAATCACGTGCGCCCCAGAAGACTTCAAAGTCAATACAAACTATAAAAGCACATAACTTACCATGAGTGAGTACTCCACTCTAATGATACTGCAGTCAAGGATGGAGGGTGATACAGGTGGGATCTTCAGCATCTTTCCATTCCACGTCTCCGTCTTGCCAGAAGAAAGTGACTCCCCTCGGATGTTGGCCACTAATTGTTTTATCTCCTTCATCTTCCCTTTGGCAAAGAAGGTCTGTGTTTGGTAAATGGCGGCCTTTGGCACAACCATACGCGAGGAGCAGTTTTCAATTTCAGCAAAGATCTGAATGGACTCTCCTGTATAAAGACATTATATAATGTTAATGGTACAAAATAGTGTGAAGGGTAACATGTAGGGCTGCAACAACTAACTGATTAAATTGATAATAAAAATAATTTGAAATAAATTTGATTAATGCCAGTCACGTTGCTTTACCGTAGTGAATAATACATTCTGGCCATGAAAATACATTAAAGGTAAAGTTTAAAGGTTAAAGTTAAGTTCACACAAACATTTTAATTTTGTCAATTTATTCACCCTCATGTTGTTCCGCATTCTGGCCATGAAAATACATTAAAGGTAAAGTTTAAAGGTAATGTTACGTTTAAAGGTTAAAGTTAAGTTCACACAAACATTTTAATTTTGTCAATTTATTCACCCTCATGTTGTTCCAAACCTGTATGAATTTCTCTCTTCTGTTGAACACAAAAGAATATATTTTGTTCAACAGAAGAAATAAATTCATACCGGTTCGGAACAAGTTGAGGGTAAGTAAATGATGACAGAATTTAAATTTTTGGGTGAACTATCCCCTTAAGAGCTTCAAACAAAAGTTTGGAGTTTAATGTGGCTTTCCCTGTCAGATGCTTTTTTTCTATCTGATTAACTTTAAAATAATCAACAGATTCATTGATTATCAAAATAATCACTGGTTGCAGCCCTAGTATCATGTAAATGTATAGTGGGGTCCAAATGTCTAGTGAAAATGTTAACTGATTGAAGATTTACCTGGAGTATAACCCTTCCGTTCAATTTTGGCACTTAAGGAAATTGGACCTGAGGTGCAAAACCAGCAGCATAGCGTCTTTTCTTTAGTTCCTGCCTGAGGAGACTATGCAAAGTAGAATAACAAAACTTTAAAATGCAAGAACCTTAACTGGTCATTCTTCAACACTACATTGATGAATCAGTGATAAATCGAGGGATGCAAATGATGCAAACACTCACCAGCAGGAGAGGAGTGTTGATGTCAATGTGCTCAAAGACAGTGAACTCTTTCTTGGTCTTCATGGGCAGAAGCCACGGCCTGTGCAGCTCAGCCTTCACCCAATAGCGCACACTGCCATGCTTTCCTTCGAACGAGGTAGCCAGAGGTCTGCACATGCGTGACACAGAGAACATTTGAGTAAGAATTACAACATATAGTGCAGGTGAACAACTATTAGGTTTGGGGCCACATCCAACAGACACTCACGTTTGTGGAAGCTCAAAGCTGAATGCATACTCATGTCTTCCTGAATGAATAGTGGTGAGTCCCTCCTCTGAGTTATCATCATCTGAAACAGAAGAGAATAATATTCCAAATATACCTTACCTGCCAAAGCATTGATCATCTTCTTGTTTATAACATTATCTATATCAAACACACACATTTCTGCTAAGCGCATGAATGTAAAGCACCCTTTGATAAAACAAGTTGATTCTCATAAACCCCAACAAATCATGATATGCATCAATATTATGCCATACCCATGAATGAGTGTTTAAGCACATGTATTATGATGGTGTATTCAGTTTCAGTATTTATTCTGAATGGGAGAGAGAAATACTCAAGATCCACTGCAGTTCACGTGAAACCTAAGGTAAATTTTACTTGCAATGTTAAATAATTTGTTTGTGTAACACTAATAAGCATCGGTGGCTTCCGTTTTGCCAGCTCAGCATTCAGCTTAGCGGAGCTATGGTAAACGAGCACGGAGCTGTCGATCAAGGGCAGAATCCAGCAAGAGAAGACCGGTCTGTCATGTAATGTTCTGTGTATGGTGCATTTTTTGGTTTGATTAATTAGCCAATCGGTTTTAACAAATGAATACATAAATACAATAGAAAAATAAAAGAAATATATATGCATGCACACCGTCTCTACAGGTCCACCGGTCACTGTGCAGCATCCAAAGTATGTCATGTCATCCTGGACCACTTATCATCCCACCAGTACATTCAACTGCTCTTTTCTGAACAAATCTACACCGAGAGCATGTTTGATCTTTATGCTTACCTCTTTCATGGCCAATAAGGATGTCTCTATGATTCAGATATTCCACTTCTTCTGTATAATTTTGAGTGTAGGCAGTGTTGGATCCAGAATTTCGTGATTCTGTCCAACGAACTTTTGCGAATCCCTTTGCATGTATTTTAAGTGACTTCACACGAATCTCCCCGGTGACTTCAATAATAACTCTTCCTGAGATTGAGTCCCCACTGGAGAAAACAGGGACATTACTGTCATTTAGACAGTCGTAGGTTACAATGAAGCTCTTCACCTTTCCTAGCACCATGGTGGCAAGAAAATAAAATGTACAAAGTTCTATAGACAAAACAAAATCACAAGGCAAAGTCTATGAAAATAATCTCTTATGAAAAAAGCGAGAGTTAACACTGGATAGTGTCATTGAGATGCGAGAGCTGAATAACAGCAAAAGATGCTGTTATCGCGTCTCGGTGAAGGCTTGATGGTCTGCAATGAAAGACAGCGAAATTTCGCCACCGGCTCACTTTAAGCGCTGCTCTTGTGAAAAACAAGTCAGTGCGCATGCGCGCGGCTCCTATCCGTCCCCCTTCTTCCGCTTTTTGTGCAGCTCTTTGACCGGGACTCAGGAGACAAATAACAGCGAACAGCTGAGCAGTGTATTAAAAGAATACGTGGAAGTCTAGACGTTTTTCGCACGTTTATGTAGAGCCCCACATTAATATTTGAACAGTTTGGTTATAGAGTAACATGTTTGTTAAGTGAATTTGGGCTTCGGTTACCCAATGGAGATGCACAACAGGAATATAAATAGATTAGACCGTTTATTTATTTTTTCCAATATATTAGGACTCAAATAATACAGTTGCTTTTTATTTAAAAAATTGCTTTACCGTTTGCATCCGAATGCAAATATGGTTTTAGATGTTGGTAAAGAGTTCAACATTTACCTGGAGGTCATGCTGCCATGTTACATATTGATAAAGATGGTGATTTGATGCCAGTTGGTACGAATTTTTATATCATAGTATATGCCACTTGAACTGAGTTTTTGCAGGAACCCCTTTTTAAATATCTCCCCCAGATATTAGGTCAACTCAGTATCCTTCCCCCACATTTTCATATTTCTATATTCTTAATCTCTTATATTTCATTTCTGATCCAGTTTAAATGGATTAAACGTTGTGTAAATACTGTTTTCCATGCCGAATCAATACCAGCCTTGATGGCATAAGGAGAAGGAGAAAGAATACTGAGATCAGTATTATAGAGGATGAGGTTGATTTTCATAATTTCACATGCAGATTTATCTGCTATGCTGGTTCAAGTTGTCAAAAACTGATGCGCCTCCCAGCGGCTGCACAAACTCTTTGGTCCTTCTGTGTCTTGCTTTAGTCGCTTGTGTGTGAACGAGTTACGCTGGTTTCTGCTGCCCTCTAGGGGTTTGTTGGAGAACAGTAACTTAAAACCATTAACACCCCTGCCGAAAATTGTAGGCGATAAGGTGATGATTTTGCTGGTTGGAGCGGAATTATGTTGTTTACATTTATTTACTTTTATTAACAGATAGTTTTGTTTTAGTGTGACTTCAGTAAAGTCACAATAAATGTCAAATTACAGATCTCCTGAGAAAAGTTACTAAGATGTTAATGAGTAAAATTGTCTTTGGACAACCTTTGGTCTGTGCACAACTCAAAACCGTTTTCAAAAATGAACTGTTTAAGACAAGTGTTAACTGGAAAGCAATGTTGAAATGGCCAAGAGAAGCAAGTAAACATGGTCAGGCTGATGTGTCAGATGCTCTGCTGACATCTAGGAACTTAATTTCCTTTGTGTGCAGTGGAGTTATGTTCAAATTCTCATTTGAATTTACCTAAAGCAAAACAGACACATCCCCACCTAGTAAACTGTAAGATGTTTTGGATTTTCATGTCAAGATGTTTGAGAGTTCCAAGTTTTATTTTAATACTTGGACTTAATATGGAGACAAATATGGGGTTAAGGTATTAAGGTGTCTGCTGATTTGTGTGTATATTGTGAGTAAAAATGCGAGTTGTGATGTAGTAGTTTATCTTGGGTTTATTTGTAAGAATTTTAATCCATTACTCTAACACAGTGGAGTAATTGTCTTAATAAGCCACCGGTGCTTATTTTCATAGATATTTGTACAGTCTTGTTACAGTCTTACTTGAAAGTAATGATCATAACTTTAGTAAAGAAACTCATACATACAGCGGTTACAGTCAATAATTATTTGATCATTGATGAGGTTAAAAGCGCAAATGTAGTACTGAAAAGCTGCAATATATTCTGAAAAGAACACAGTATCAATAAAACTGCAGTACTATTATCAAAATAAGTTTTAGTAGGAATGATTAGAGTTTATAAGGCACAATAATAGGCACCATGAAGTTCTTGACACAACACATGTTTGGCTGGTGAAGAAGACTAATAAGGCACATTAGGAGAGGATTCTTTAGTGCTTTGATTTGGATCATAAACTGGTGCAGAAGGAGCCGGATGGAAACCGGACTGGATGGCGTGTGGATTTGGATTTGGATTTGGATAGACCCCTGCAGCAGCTCCTGGATGGGGCAGCACTGTAGGGTCGTACAGACTGGGGTAAAGCCCTGAAGGTGGAGGAGGTAGTTCACCAGGATAAGGCACAGGACTAGGCTGAGGTGGTGGATATGGCTGGAATCCTCCAGGTGGACCTTGCCAGGGAGGACACTGTTGATCAGCTGGAAGAATTACCACAGGAAATGTGACTGCTGGATCTGATGCAAAAGACACATCCAGAGAGATCTGAAAGACAGTGTATGGAATAGTTCAAGTGATTTTATTAGGCCTACTTGAAAAATGGCGATACTAAGGAAGACTTAATAGGACCTTGAGTTGGTACTGCACTTTTATGATTCTGAAGTTACAATGGTAACAGTCAGGTCACGTGGAAGCTTCATGTTAACTATGAATTTTGACTTTTCTCCAGATGGGATGCGATCTCTAGTCTCTTGGATTATGTATTTTAATCCTCTTTTAGTTCTTATGCCAGCTATGAACGTCTGTTGCTGCTTGAGGCTGTACTTTAGTTTGACGTCACGAGATGAAGAGTTGTTAATATCAACAGAAAATCTGATTGTTTCACCTGCAGCAATAATAAGGAAATAGAGATAACATACATCAATAATAAAAATAAATAAAATGAAATTGATATTACAGGCTAGTGTCTTCATTTTAGGCCTCTTCAGGTTTGCCATCAAGATACAGTGGGTACGGAAAGTATTCAGACCCCCTTAAATTTTTCACTCTGTTATATTGCAGCCATTTGCTAAAATCATTTAAGTTAATTTTTTTTCCTCATTAATGTACACACAGCACCCCATATTGACAGAAAAACACAGAATTGTTGACCCAGCCATGAAAGTATGTGAAAGATAAAGGAATATTTCTGAAATCAGGGAAAAAGTAAAAAAAATCTTTAGTGTCTCACAAATGACTGTAATGTAATCATTGTAACATGCATGATAATAGTTTTTATTTATTTATTCAGAATAACAGTTTCTATTATTAGCACATGTACAATCTATTTACATTTTTAATTTAATGTGTTTTAATCTAAAATAATAAGCAAATAATATGGGTTTATTGAAGCAAATGTCTAATAATATGCAAACAATATGACTGGAACCTATTTATTTATTTTTATTTATTTATTTTAGAGGATGGTGATGATTTGGGGGGCATGTTTTGCTTTTAATATCATCATATGTTGATAGGAAATTTGTTCTGTACATTGTGTTAATCACATATTGTTATCATTTCACTGTTTGCACATATTTACACAAAGAACAACTGTCATTGAAAATGTATGTTGAACGACAGGAATTCTTCAATAGTATCACTCACTCACTGTTGAGGCAGCTGAAATCTGAATGGAAAAACATGACTTCCTGGCCTAATCACTGGTCCATCTGGGGAATATAAGGCATGTTAGAATGGGTTACAAGAGAGTTGTGATGAAGCTTCGCTGGTCTACTGTCTGCAAACAATCTTTTCAGGTTTCATGTAACGTATGTCTGAAAGGTATATAAAAACTCTCTCTTACAGGTTTCTCCGCTTACAAAAGCATTATTCCTTTGTTCTTGTTCTGTAGATATAACAGCAAGAAACGTATTATATCCATTCTTAATCTTCATTCATCCATTCTTCATTATTTCTTTATTCTTTACTGCAAACATCTATTTTTCAAACATGATCTGTCCCAAGACTTGTAAGTTCACTGTTAGCATTTATTTTGCATAATACATCTATGTGTATTATTTTATCTATATAATAGGCCTAATTTAAACACTACTACTACTAATGATACTAATAATTCTATTTTTTTGTTAATATTTTATAGATATTTATGTATATTTTGCGCAATGTCACTTTTCTTTTGAGCTCTCTTGAATGAAGTATTGCTTTATTTTGAAGTATCTCTCATGGTCACGGTAGGTTCTTTCAGGATTTTTCAGTCCAGCGCACATTTGCATCCCCCGTCAGCTTAACAAAAAATGTCCACCTTTATTTAATTGGTTACTTCCAAAACAACTCGCCTCTCCACAAAATTCTCACTAGTTAAAGTATTGCTTTCATTAATCGGGTCATAACGAAGACTGAATTCTTTGATGGAGCCTGACATTTATTTTTTTGTATGTACATATGTACACTATACTAAATATTCAAAGACACGTGGGTTCTTCCTGTTCTCGTGGGTGAAGCAGCAGTGACAAAGTCCATGCTTTCGGGAAAAAAAAAAAGTTTTTGAGGGTGTGGCACTTCATACGCCTGCCTGCTCAGCACTGATCTTTCAGTTCAGAGCTCACTGTGATAGATGGAGACCCGATTGGCCGGGGGACCTGCTTACTTACCACAACAGAAGATGAATCTTGTCTTTAATAAGGCTGTAGCATGAGATCAGCAAAACATTTATACAAAAATTTAAAATTATGCATACACACAATAGTGTTTACAGGTCCACTTGAACGATTGAGCATCCCACCAATTTTTATCCGTATGCTTGCAAATAATTTTGAATGTATTTTAAAGTCACAATTGTAGGGACTTAACTGTAATTTAAGTCGTTAATTCTATAAGGGAATTAATCATGAATTTTATTTCTAGCTCAGGTTTTGAAAGGACTCGGATCTGGAAATTCTAAGTCCACCTGTTTAGAACTGATTTCAAATTTGATAGTTTACACTTTAAATCAACGGTCGTCCAGCGAGCCGGTGATCTTAGTATATTTTAACAACTTGAATCTTTGTATTTCCCTGGCCACGGGGCAACACAATTAGGATAATTTGTAAGCTCTTATGAAATAAGAATGAACTATTCTTATTTTTTTAATGTAATGTTGAAGTGTTTATTACAAATGATTTGTCCATGCACATCATTATTGCATTTTATTATTATGTATTTATTTATTAACATGTTTCCTCATAATCTTTAATAAAAAAATATTAACATTCCCACCCCTCATATCTTCTCTGATGATGTGTGCACTGGAGTGAAGGTTGGACAATAGAGTTGTCTAATGACCAGACGAGTTTCAGTCACTCACCTCCAGCAACCTGTTACTCGCTTGAAATGATCGTCCATTTAGTTTGCAGTGGCCACTTTCCACAATCCAATCAATTCCTAATGGACAAAAATCAATTTACATCCTACAGTCTCCCGCCCCCCCTCATTTAACAAGCTGTTTCACTCAGAAATACGTCACATGGGAGAGACAAGTCAGCCACAATTTCTGTTTCATACCAAATCTCCTCAGGACGTCAATAAGAACTCTCAAGTCCCCACTTGAGAAAGTGTTTGTATGCAGCTTCAGTACCACCCTTTGTAATGAATGGCGTAAGGAGGCAAAGCAGAAAGAATATGGAATAATATTTTATTAGAGGATTCAGATCTTTCCAGATCGCTTGCAGATTTATCTGCTGTACGCCTACACTGATCAGCCACAACATTAAAACTGTAGGTCCCCCTTGTGCTGCCAAACAGCTCTGATGCTTTGAGCCATGGACTCCACAAGACCTCTGAATGTGTCCTGTGTTGTCTGGCACCAAGACATAAGAAGCAGATCTTTTAAGCCTTCCAAGCTGCAAGGTGTGGTCTCCGTGAATCAGATTTGTTGGTCCAGCACATCCCATAGATGCTCAATTGGATTGAGATCTGGGGAATTTGGAGGCCAAGGCAACATCTTAAACTCTTTGTCATTTTTCTCAAACCATTCCTGAACAATTTTTGCAGTGTGGCAGGGGGCAATAACCTGCTGAAAGAGGCCACTGCCATCAGGGAACACCATGGGGTGTACGTGGTCTGCAGCAATCTTTAGGTAGGTGATACATGTCAAAGCAACATCTCATGAATGCCAGGACCCAAGGTTTCTCAGCAGAACACTGACCAGAGCATAACACTGTCTTTGCCGGCCTAACTAACCACTACATACCAGGAACACCCCACTCCACTTGTCGTTTTTGAGATGCTCAGACCCTGTTGTTGTCTACCAATCACTCTTTGGCCCTTGTCAAAGATCTTTTTGCTTGCCCTTTTTCCTGCTTCCAACACATGAAATTCGCAAACTGACTATTCACATGCTGCCTAATATATCCCAGCCATTTAGGTGCCATTGTAACAAAATAATCAACGTTATTCACTTCACCTGTCAGTGGTTTTAGTGTTGTGGCTGATACTGTAAGTGTATGCTGCTTGAGAAATCTGATGTATACAGTACAATATAGTTATGGTTTTGCTGGTGTGAGGTAAATCATATTGCTCACATTTAATTATTTTCTAAGCAGATCGTTTTGTATCAGTGTGACTTACAAAATGGCAATTACAGGTCCCTCAGAACAGTAGGTAAAATGTCAATGAGTAGACTAAAAGATATAAGTGTAGTAAAGGACTGCTTAAAGTTACTGAAACATTAGAGCAATAAAAAGAGAATAAATTCTGGGTTAAAAAGAGCTATTATGAGTAAACCACGAAAAATAACTCACAGACTGACTGACAGATACACATCCAAAGCGCATGCACAGAAAGCTGTCTGTCAAAATGCCCGTTTTGGCAATTATTAATGTAAACACAATCAGTTATGTCTTAAGTGAATTTAAACATTTGGGAAAGAAATCGGATGTGCATTAATATGCTGGATCTGTATGCATTAGGACTTTAAGATGCAGCAGCCTAATATAACTGCTGTTGTCTGTGTCATTAATGTTAATCAAACAAAAGAAAAATAGATAATCACTCACTGCTCTTCATTAATAACTTCTGTAGCTTTAAAAAAAAAAACAATGTTTTGTAAAATAATTGAGGCTGAAAGCAAGACTGAGATGTTTTAATCCTTCATGTCACCACAATTTTTAGTCACATTTGACTCTCGAGTAACCAACAAGACTGCCTACAGTAAAACATCTTATGAAATAATCATAACTTTAGTATTTTTGCAGTAATAGATACAGTCTATAGATTTTCGAGTTGCGATTTTCTAGGCCGATATGGCTAGGAACTATACTCTCATTCCGGCGTAATAATCAAGGAACTTTGCTGCCGCACCATGGGTGCAGCAGGCGCAATGATATTACGCAGCGCCTGAAAATAGTCCCCAGCTAGGTAACTTCCAATAAGCCTATTTTCAGGCGCTGCGTAATATCATAATGAGCCTATATTTTCAAAAATAGTGGAGTGTTCCTTTAAAAGGCACAATAACCGGCATTGAGCTTGCAGATAGAAGGCATGCAGATAAAACCATGAAGTTCTCACTGACACAGCATAAATGGTGCTCAGAGGTTTGGCTGGTGAAGAAGACTAATAAGGCACATTAGGAGAGGATTCTTTAGTGCTTTGATTTGGATCATAAACTGGTGCAGAAGGAGCCGGATGGAAACCGGACTGGATGGCGTGTGGATTTGGATTTGGATTTGGATAGACCCCTGCAGCAGCTCCTGGATGGGGCAGCACTGTAGGGTCGTACAGACTGGGGTAAAGCCCTGAAGGTGGAGGAGGTAGTTCACCAGGATAAGGCACAGGACTAGGCTGAGGTGGTGGATATGGCTGGAATCCTCCAGGTGGACCTTGCCAGGGAGGACACTGTTGATCAGCTGGAAGAATTACCACAGGAAATGTGACTGCTGGATCTGATGCAAAAGACACATCCAGAGAGATCTGAAAGACAGTCATGTTTTTGCTTTACTCTTTGGTAGAAAGTCTTGTTAAGCTGTGAAACTAATGTTGTTATATACGTACCACACATTTTACCACAAATTAAAAAGGGCTTAAAAATTACAGGGATAGTTTACTCAAAAATCACCAACACACTGTTTCTTTCTTCTGCAGAACACAAAAGAAGATATTCTGAAGTTCATAAAAATGTTTCAGCTGTTTGTCCATACATTGAGGCCTTTTTTAAAAATATCTTCTTTTGTATTCTGCAGAAAAATGAAAGTCATATTATAGATTTTAAATGGCATGAGGGTAAATTAGCCTTTTGGGGTGAACTATTGCTTTAAATATGGCAATACTATAGAAGACAAAATAGTACCTTGAGTTCATACTGCACTTTTATAATTCTGCAGTTTTCAATGGTAACAGTCAGGTCACGTGGAAGCATCATGTCCACTGTGAATTTTGACTTTTCTCCAGATGGGATGCGATCTCTAGTCTCTTTGACTATATGCTTGAATCCTCTATTAGTGCTCCTGCCAGCGATGAACGTCTGTTGCTGCTTGAGGCTGTACTTTAGCTTGACATCACGAGATGAAGAGTTGTTAATATCGACAAAAACTCTGATCGTTTCACCTGCAACAATGATAAAAATTAGAGACATCAAAAATCAATTATAATAATAATACTGACTATAGTCAGTTTCATCCAAGTTGCAAATTTAATTTATGTAAAGACTATTTACAGATAAAACGGTGTTTTCATCCAATGTGTTTAGGAGAACACAGTAGTCATGTCTGGAGGAATTGAAGTTGAATAATTTTGATGTCAGTCTTTCACTTCAGAATGACTAGAGTTTTGAGATGCTATACAAAGCTCTGCTGTTATTTTCTTCTCTAAGCTAAATTTAGTCCTATGTCTTTTTTAATGTAGATTAATCAGTCTACTCAGCAAATTATTGACCTCAAGTGAGTGTATATGTTTGTTATATGAATTGGGGAAATTTTATTTGCATGTTCCCTCAGAATTTTTATGCAGTATTTGAAAATGTGCATAGAAATATGTAAATGTAAACCCGACAATTGACATTACAGGCTAGTTTCTTCGGTTTAGGCAGCTTTGAATGAGTCGCTTGAGAGCTACACATGACAGCATCACCTTGCATATAGCCAGTTTTTTCTGATGTTACAGTCATTGACATTTTTCCTGAGCCAAAAAGTTTCATCTTCTTGTCTTGTGTGCCAGCTTGTGGTTGCTGTATGGAAAAAAGAAGAAGAAGAAAAAAGAACAGCATACTGAAATGAGCCAACTAAAATCACATTAGATTTCCTCTAAGCTCTAAATCACAAAGAAAGGGTTTAAATCACATTACTTGAGGTCTGATGACAGTTTATAAAACAGATCCAGTCCTTGATACCTGTGACCTCATTACATCAGTATTACTGTGCCACTGCGTCTTTGTGTTACTTGGCAAACATTCTGCTTTTAGAATTACATTGCTTGGCTGGACGAATAATATTTATTATATTTGTTAATAATAACTGCTGCTGTGTGTTTACTTTATGAATAAAATAAACATTAACAATGCCCCTTAGCTGTTCTAAATTCACTGTAAATCCACGGCTTCTTGGGGCTTATTGCTTTATTAAGAGGTTACAGTACATCATCTTTCTATTTATGTGAGAAGTGCTAAAGAGTCAAACATGGTATTGTAATTCATACCAGCAAGTGATCATTGGTCCCATCATTTCTCAGCACAAAGATTAATTCCGTATATGTAGTAGATGTTGGCTTCCAAGGCCTGCTCAGCTTTACCGTCAAGACATACTTCACCCAGCCATGATTTCCTTTAAAAGATGGAGGCATATTTCTGAAATTAGGAAAAAATAAACTCTTTAGTTTATGACAAGCATTACAGTGCATAATATACATAACATTACACACCATCATATATTTATTTATTCAGAATATATATACTTTACTACTTTTTTCACTTGTTTACAATATTATTAAAGCAAATATTCTAGAATAATAAGTAATTAATATTACTGACATCTGTTTTTTAGAGGATGATAATGATTTGGGGTAATGTTATAACTGATAAGGAACTGAAAGGAATGGGAGACAATTTTTTATGCTCATGCAGTCTTGCTTATTCACTTCTATATATTGTGTTCATGGGCTGTGAATTACACCTGCCGAGTATTATTTCACTGTGCACATATTTACACAATAAGGAACAACAACAACTGAAGATGAAAGGCACATCAGTAGTATCACTCACTGTTGAGGCAGCTGAAATCTGAATGGAAAAACATGACTTCCTGGCCTAATCACTGGTCCATCTGAGGAACAATAAGGCATGTTAATATGGGTTACAATAGAGCTTTTCAAAAAGCATATTTAGTTTATTATCAGCAAACAATCGTGGGCAGTCTCGGTACTAGCCGGGATTGTAGGTGGGGGCAGTGAATGACCAGTGCTCTCTTCCACCCTCAATACCAGGACTGAGGCGAGACTGAGGCTGCCACCTGCTCCAGGGGTGTGTGTGTGTGTGTGTGTGTATATGTGTTCACCAGAGGTGGGACCAAGTCATTGTTTTGCAAGTCACAAGTAAGTCTCGAGTCTTTGCATTCAAGTCTCGCTATTTGGTTGTTCCTGTTCTCGTTATTAGTTAATCACCTAATTGTGCTCACCTGTCTGCCCCTCATTATCCGCCCTATATTTGTGTGTGTGTGTGCGCGCGCCCGTGCTTTCCTGTGAGGGGTAGGTTTAGGGTTAGGGTTGGTGTAGGGCAACTTGGTCTGGACGGATCATAAGAACTTAGAATATATCCGTTCGGCCAAGAGGCTGAGCTCGCGCCAGGCTCGCTGGGCACTCTTCTTTGACCGTTTTAACTTCACCCTTTCTTACCGGCCCGGGGCCAAGAACGTTAAGCCCCGACACGCTATCCCGCCAGTTTGAGCGCCCGGGAGAGGAGACCCTAGCCAATGCCATACTCCCTGAAGGTGTGGTGGTGGGGGCCCTCTTCTGGGAGGTCGAGTGGAAGGTGGAAGAGGCCGGACCAAGGGTGGAAGTGCCAGCTGAGTGTCCTGCGGGTAGGTCGTGCCGGCTGTGTTGCGCCCTGAGGTCCTTCAGTGGGGGCATGAATCTAGGGTTGCCTGCCATCCAGGAGTCAGGAGATCGCTGGCTGCCATCCGCCAGCGATTTTGGTGGCCCTCTATGGGCCAGGACGTCAGGCAGTTTGTATTGGCTTGCTCTGTCTGTGCCCAGAACAAGGTCTCTAACCATCCCTCCGTTGGTCTGCTCCAACCACTGCCCATTCCCTCTCGTCCCTGGTCACACATAGCCTTAGATTTTGTCTCTGGCTTACCCCCTTCAAGAGGCTACACCGGTCTCGTTATCCCTGTTAGCTAATTCTCCCTTCTCACCGGTCGGCTCTCTTCCTTGGCTCGCGCTACTCATAGGCCTGTCTCTCCACGGCAGTTCCGTCCTATTCCTCTCTGCCCACGCTCGATACCACCCCTGGGATTCATCGGCGGCATTCTATTGCCGGTTCGCCGCCTCTCTTCCCCGCGGGCTCGACCGCGGCTGGTCTAACCTCCGCGCTGAGTCATCAAATTTGGGACTCGAGTCCGAGTCAAGTCTCGAGTCATGTGACTCGAGTCCACACCCCTGGTGTTCACTACTCACTGCTGTGTGTGTGCACTTGGATGAGTTAAATGCAGAGCACAAATTCCGAGTATGGGACACTTCACTTGGCCACAGGTCAGTCACTTTTACTTTCACTTTCAACAATCATTTCAGGTTTCATGTAAATTATAAAAAGTTTCATGTAATTTATTTGGTGCCCATATGTATATGAAACCCATGTACAAGTTTCTCCATTTACAAGAGTTGTATTCTTTTCACTTTCTCCTGTAGACGTTACAGCAAGAAATAAAAGTATTACACAATTTTGAATAATAATTTGATACTTTTATTTATTTAAAGTTTTCTATATCGTGCAACCTCACCTTTCTTTGAGCTCTCTTGAATGAAGTATTGCTTTAGTTTGAAGTATCTCTCATGGTCGCTATAGGTTGTTTCGTCGTCACCTGAGCCTTCAGTCCAGCGCACATTTGCATCCCCCGTCAACTTCACAAAAAAACTGTCCACCTTTATTTCTTTGGTTACTTCCAAAACAACTCGCCCCTCCACAAAATCCCCACTAGTAAAAGTATTGCTTTCATTAATCGGGTCATAGTGAAGACTGAGCTCTTTGATGGATCTGGACATTTTATTTTCTACTTATGTAGCCTACACTAGACATGCAAATACAGCGCTGCTCGCAAGCAGAATGACATTCATGTGAAAGAAAAAAACGGGCTGAGGGCGTGACTGAAGATTGCGAAACATTGGCAATTCCACAGGGTTGAGTAAAGTTCAGTTAATGGTTTAGCCTTTGTTCCTGATATTGCTGTTGCATGGTGTGTCAACCCGACGATATCATTTCCTGTTTAAAAAAAAAATACTACAACAACAATTTACTGTAGCCTACCGTTAACACATTCGCTCTGCACTCTTATTATGTTTACAAATTGTTGTTTTTATTGTTGTTATTATCATTATTATTAATATAATTAATAACAGTCATAACTAACAAGCTAGTGAAATATTACAATTCTATAAAAAGCACCAATTCATTTATGTAAATTTACTATAAGCAACATTACATATTATTAAATTATATTGTTTAGGCTACTTTAAACGTAATAAAAGAATGTTTTCAAAATCATGTATTCAAAATAGTTTTATGCACACTATTAACACAAAAACGTGTATCTTGTAGGCCTACTTGAACCTCAGGAGGATGGTGATCATGTATGATTCAAATTAAATTAACACATTTTTTTAATCACTGATCTCTAATAGATTTTTATGAATTCATTGTAAATATGTTTAAACATGTTTACATTTTCTTGTTAGTGATATTTTTATTTTATTCATTTATTTATTATTGTTGTTATTATTGTTATTATTATTATTATTATATATTTTTTATTATTTATTTTTGTTTAGTCTTTTCTGAATTTTTAGCTGCGTTTAGCTGTTGCTAATTTCAGAAGCTCAAGGGTGTCCGGTTAAACACTTCACACGTATTCTTTAGCAGTTCGCATTTGCCTTTGTTCCAGACCTAGAGTCTGTGCTATTTATTCAACTTATCAAACACTGTTGCATTCTCTCACTGCAACCAAGACCCTCTTATGAGCTGCAGTGGTTGTAAAAATAGATTGAGTTTGAACTATCAGCCACTAGATGGAGCCATCTGTGCTGTTTTGGACATCATTTTGTTGTTTAATTCAGTCAGGTATAATTTTGCATTTGTGTCCTTATTTGTTGCATTGTTATCCTTATCATGCTATTTTAAATAATTTTGTCATGAAAAACGTAATTTATCAGCTAAGCTGGTTGGCTGGTTTTAGTTGGTCATACAGCCTGGTCATAGCTGGTCAGACTAAAATGTGAAGTATACCCCATAAAAGTAACAATACTATGATTTCCCTAACTAATTTTGAAACTTCATGTTAACAGTAATGATAATAGAAGACCCCTGTTTTAAACCTCTAGGTTCCATATGTGAATATTATTTGTGTGTGTATATAAAAGAGTTAGAATTAAATGTACAGTAAAAGTCTGTAGCATCCACTACAGTCAGTAAGATTTTTTTTGTTAAGAAATGAACAGTTTTAATACTTTTATCACTTTAAATGGATCAAAAGTGACAGTAAAGACATTAATAATGTTACAAAAAAAATCTATTGAAATAAATGCTGTTCTTTTGAATTCTCTTCAAAGAATCCTGACGGGGAAAAAAAAGTGTCATGGTTTTCCACAAAAATATTCCACAGCAAAACTGAAAATTATCTCTGATGGACACTGGAGTAATGGCGCTTGGGGGAAAAAAAAAGATTCACAATATTTAATAATAACAATAATAATAATAATAATAATTCACATTATATATGTTGATCAGATATTGCAGCTTTTGTAAGCATAAGAGACTTCTTTCAAAAACATAAAACAATTCTTACTGACCCCAAACTTTTGAATGGCAGTGTATGTGATATACACAAGTTTAGTTTATGACCAAGTCACAGGTCATAATCTGTAGTTTTGCTCCTGGTTCCCAGGAAACTGTTGTGTATAGTGTTTGTTCTTCTACATTGAATTGCATCCTTGCCCAGAGCAAAGAGAGACAGCTCCGGTCCTGAGCAGTCTGTATTAAGATTAATGAACAGTTTGGCATTTTTAGTCCTCTTCATGGAATCAATGAATGTAATACTCACCGAGCCAATGGGGAGCAAACACCCACACACATACTATGATTTGCCAGAGGGTGCATGCTAAATGTCCAAGCAGTAGTCAATGCAGAGAAATTAGCTATTGATTGTGTATAGTTTTGTAATAGGTTACCTGTGGGTTTGCTCTTTTAGAAAATTCCAATATTCCTCTCCCTGGGAATAAAGGCATAATAACTTTGTCTAGCCTTGACTAAGAGTGTGAAGGCAGAAGTGAGTCGGCTTTTCAGGGTCAAACTCTAATTAGTATAAAGGTCAAATTGGAAATAAACATGGTGCTAAAAAATAATGATGAACTTGGCATCAGAAGCAAAGTTCATTAAGAGCTGTGAGGGAATGGTACTTCTGTATTGGCTTTTCCATGAATGTGATCTACATTAGATTCTCTCTTCTACATTTACTTTACATTTAGTCATTTAGCAGACGCTTTTATCCAAAGTGACTTACAAATGAGGACAATAAAAGCAGTCAAAACTAACAAAAGAGCAACAATATATAAGTGCAAATGACAAGTCTCGGTTAGCCTAACACAGTTTCTAAAACTCAGCTGGCTTGGTGGGTAACCTGACATCAACATTTTCTCTCTAGTGTCCGTGGTGCAGAAGTCAAAAATATATTGTAATGAGATTTAATAAAGTAGGTGCAGATTGTGACATTTAACTGGAGGAAATCATTAATGAATGAATAAACAAACAAACAAGCAAACAAACAAACTTGTGGCTGCCTTCACATTTCAATGATGAGTCAATGATGTAATTTTTTTCGGTCCGGATCTGTTAATTTATTATAAAATACATTGAAAATACAATTCATAAATACACTGACTTGAATACACTTTCTATATTAAGGGCCATTTAAATGTTGAAATATAATTACATTTTTAATTGTTTTTGGGCAGCATAAAGTTAAAATGTCAGGGTCATACAATTGTCCTGATATAATAATAATAATAATAATAATAATAATAATAATAATAATAATAATAATAATAATACTTCAAAAGGAAACCACATTTAATAGTTTGGGAAAAATCTTTTATTATTTCTTAAAAAATAATATTCACTTATTAATATTTGAAATAAATTTGTAAAAAACATAAAACAGTAAGTGACACTATAGAGAGGTAAACCATTAATTTAGAGGTGAACAATTCATTTAATTAGACCTATGGATAATTAATTTAGAATATCTGTTAAAATAACTTTTGCTTTGAACATTCAAGGTGTAAGGAATATATATTATTTTTTTTTCTTTGATGGCATTTTTAGAGTCATTGAATTGAAATTTTCCTTGAAAATAGTCTAAAAGTTTTTTGGTTTTTTTTTTATCCCCAAAAACAACAGAGATTCTAAGAACAACAATACAAAGAGATTCTAAGAACTTGGTACATGTGTTTTAAAATAACTGTTGAAAACTTTTTCTTTCCTGTAGACACTTTTATTTGTAATTGATCCATGTGTCTACCTTCTAATTTGTTTTTTAGAAGGATTTTCCAAATTAAAAATCGAAACTGCTTTTATTTAAACAACTGGGCCTGAGTCTGAGTTGGAGGTAAGTAGTGGCATTTTCATTTGGCCTATAGAGGGATTACTCCATAATACTGGTCCATTTGATAGAAATGCTGTTCCTCTGGAAGACTGAGTCCCCAGTACAAAAGTCACTCTAGCTATAATAATAATAATAATTTACTAAAATATTTTCCAATGTAAATAATAATAATAATAAAATAATTATTATAATTATTATTTTTATTATTATTTTATGGCACCACTAAATACACAATATTAATATTGTGTTAAAAATGTTGTCATGTCAGCCACGTTTGCTAGCAAACATATGAATGTAGTACATTTTGTTCATATCCATTTTGTTAATGGATAATTAAATAATTCAAATTAAATTTAAATCTGTTTAACAGGTCATTATTGTAACAATATGGTGTGTATATTTTTACTTTATTACCGAGCATAAATATGTTTTAATTTAATTTATTATTTACTACAGCTTCTACAGTTTCATAATTCATTCAATCATTATTATTTTACTTAATTTATTTATGAAATTACTAAAGATTTCACAGATGAAACCACAATGGCTATATTGTAGTACAGCTTTTGTCAGTATTCTTTGATTCTTATTCATTCATTTAATTCAGTGCGAGCAACAACTGCGTCTGATTGTCAAGCAAGCAAATCCCCATATTCACAGGAGCACAGAGGATTGAGTACACTTACAGAAACCCATTAGCCTAGTTTCTCAGATTCATAGTGGAAGAAAAAAAAAATCATGCCAATCATCAAGCACAGACCACACATGTCCACAAGAAATGTCTTTTGCCACTCACATCACCATCAGAAGGATAATGATTCTCAATCCATCATTAAAATTTGCCTGAGGGCTTTTGTCGCATCAGTCTCACACTTGTCTCTTGAGGCAGGTTGAGTCTTGCTTGACACATTATTGTTTACCCACTAAACCACAGTCATAAGCTCTATAGGCAAAAGTGTGTGTGTGCATTTGTAGTCCTGAATCTGTATAATCAGCAATTTTGATTGATGCTTATGTGACTTTATTAAAACTTGTAAAATAGATCACACATATGACTCACGTTGAAAGACAACACATCGATTTTGGTATATACAAGAGACTGGGGCTAGTTGTCACAAAATTTTGAGTCAAATGTCCAATTGCACAAATGTGTAACAAATCCGTAACAAAAACAGCAAGTAACAAATTGAATATATATATATATGTCGCCCTACACAAGTATGCTTTGAAAAAATAATTAGTAGTATAATCAGTAAAATATTCAGTAGACTAAAAAGTTTGACAACTAGTCACACTAGCCAATAGTCATCATATAAAGTAGCCCAATGTAGAATATATCTCTTATGTCATGCAGCCGTATTGATAACTCTAAACACTAGATGGCACTGTTTGACCAGCAATGCTATGGTTCAGGCCAGTGTTTTTCGAGG